ATGAATAATATATTCAATTATCTAAATTTGACGAAATGAACTTAGTTAGTGTCTTAATGTATTTTAATGTTTCTTGTGATAAAAGTGGTGGGCAAACGGCAAAAAATTGTGATCAGTGTAAAATTATCTTCAGAACTACAACCAACCAACCAAGCATTTCAAATTCATAAATCAAATGTGTTGAATTAAATATTAAATAATTGAATATTAATACTCCCCTCTAAGGAAGAAGTCAAACAAACTTTGAAATATTGGAAATTGAAACTTTAAAATTTCATAACATATTTTAAATCTTATATTGATTTCTAAAATGAATATAGTAAATTTAAAGAACATTTTGTAATTTAAGGACTTCTTCCTTAATCCTTTTAATATTAATGTTAAATTTAATGTGTTTACTTTGCGATAACTATCTGTAAAAACTTCAAATAAACTTCAGTTGAAGTTAGAATAACAGAGAAAAAGTAAAAATCAAAATGTAAATAAATAAAAGGATAATAAAGTTCAAAAAATATACATGAAAAATCCTTGAGACTCACTGGTAAGTAAACACAGAACCTTCAAGATTGCCTTGTTTTGATTTTTGGTTTTGTTTTTGTTTTTGTAAATATTTTTCACTGACATAAGTAATTTTTGTTGGTGCTGTTGTTAACAAATAGCATATAACACAAGTCCATATGTGTGCACAAAAAATGAACAACCAATCAAACATACATAAAAGGAATACAAATGAAAAGTAGACATTGTAAGGCAATTTATACGTAAAGGATAATCTTTTTGGTAAATAAAAATATTACATAAATTTTGCCTTGAAAGAAAATATTTACCAAAACAATAAGAAAACGAAACAGAAAATGAAAAAGAAGAAGAGTGCCAAGACCAAGAAAACAACAAAAAAACAAAACATATTTAAAAAATATAATCTCAAACAAAAACATGCTTAAAAGCATTAAAACACAACAACAACAACAACAACAACAACAACAACAAGAGCAATACATTACGTGCTGATCCACTTATATGAAGCAGGAAAAGCGCTACTTCGTAGCATTTCACCATTAGTTGGTGTGTTGAGACAACAGTGTTAGGCGGACGGGCGGGCGTAACCGTATTATTTCGGGAATTTTTCGAGTGCCTGTTTGTTTTTCTCTTTTCTTCCGCACAAATGTGCCTCTGTTTATTCTTCTTACAAAAATAACAACAACAACATATTTTTTGATATTTTTTTCTTAGCCATCATAAACTTCAATATTGGAAAAAATCTTTATTTTTTGGCAAATCTAATCCATTTTCATATATGAAATGAGTTTTGGTTGGCACACAAAAATTCTTAAGATTAATTGTATTTCATGTTTTCCACTTTAAGCGTAGGATTTCGAAAAAATCCTTTTTCCAATTTGCCATAAAAATGTTGTGATAAATGCAATTTTATTTTATTTAATCTTTGATTCTATCAGTTCTGATAGAGAGGATAAATGGGTGTTAAAGTGCATACGAAGTGACTGAAGACATCTTAAAATTTTATGGTTAGTTGTCGAACATATCAAATCTCGCCTTTCTTAAGGGAAATTATTTTTTTTTTAAATTAGGATATTTAATACAATATGAGCATTATAATTTTATATAAATTTAAATGGTTGTGAAAATCTTGGAACTAAAGTTATTAGTATGCTTTAAAAATTATTATATGAACTACTGGTGAAACTGTAGTTCTTTCTGGTCATTGGTGTATAGGAACCCACACACATTCCTTATAATCCTCACTGCAGAAGTTGTGGAAATCCGCAGGAAAAAATGCCTGTTTTTGGCATCCAGAAGATATAGCATAGGTTTTTAGCAAGATACTTCTTTGATAGTTTATCAGAATATTCATCGGTAAAGTCGAAAAATCTATTAAATTATCTAAATTCGGCGTGATAGATTTAGTCTTTACTCTTTTATACTAGGGTTCTTCAGAGGAATTATGTAGCAAAACGGCGAAAATTCGCTAATTGAGTTACATAAATGTTATCTTTTGGTCTACCACTGCAACTAACCAAACAACCAACTGGTGGTGTTTAGAAAATTACATAGTGCTTTTTGAAATCCCAATTACTTTAGAAGCTATTAAGCTATATTTCCTATTAAAGATAAACATCTCTTTTGTGAAACATAATGTAATCATAGATAGCGGTATTGTGTATTATGAACTATTGAATCCCAACGAAACCGGGTTAATGCACAATGCTTTCGCCAAAAAATGATTAATTTATATTACGTATTGATAAAAAGACGACCGGAGTACTCAAAGGACAAGGCAAAGTAATTTTGTGACACGAGAATACGACGTTTCACATAACAAGACTAGTAAAAGTTATTTTTAAATCGCTTGTATAGAACATCCTCCCATACCCGTCGTACTCTTTAGATCTGACGCCACTTGACTATAACCTCTTTGCATCATTAAGGGGCCGCACTAGCAGACGACGTTTTTTATTCTTATTTTCCCTTTAAATTAAATTTTTTTGTAAATAATTTCTAAATCTTAAATTCGCTCTGATTAAATTCGCTCTGAAAACAGCTTATTTAGAGTCTCTAAATTTTCGATAATATATTATCGATAATAATTGAATCAATTTTTTATTTAAAAAAAAATAATAAGCACAGTGGGCCAGAAAGTTTTAAAATTATTAACCAGCTATATGTAAAATATTAGTTCATTAGATTAAAATATATTTTTTACAAATAGTTTCAAAATTTCAGTTTTAAAAATTCAAAATTCAAAATTCAAAATTTCTGAATATGAAGCGTCTGTTTAATCTCAAAAACCATACGGCTCTACAGCAATTTTCTTCGAACCCTGAACAAATAACGGCTAATGAAATACCTAAGGGGCTTGTAGCTAATCTTATAAAGTTTTGGGAGAGAAGAAGTACAAATTCCCCTCCTCAATTAGCTATAAGCCCCGGTATAGCAAAATATTTTAATGACGATACTGAGGAACCGTCATCTCCGGTTCAAGGTTCATTAATGTCCATTGAAGAAGTTGACTCAACAAATGTAAGAAAAAAATGTTTATGATTGGGCAAATTTGTTTAAAAATTTTTTTCAAGGCACTCGATACCCATTTATGTCAAAACGAAATTTCATATACTGATATGAGTGAGCCGGACTAGCGAGTATGAATATGATCAATGTTAACAGAGAATTCCGGATTAAAGGTTAGATTAGATAGAATCTATTTTTATTTCTGTTAGAGTGGCTTCAATGCATATCCGGACTACTTTAAATTGATGAAGAAATTGCATATGGTACTAAAGATGCATGCAGATAAAACGACATGCAAAATATAATTGACACAGAATGACGATTAAATACAACCCTTTGGATATAAAGTTTTGGCTACAACATTCAATAAGTTAAAATATATATACATTCACCATAAATTTTCTACTTTATTAATTTTGCATTTATTTTGACTATATAGAACGACACCAAAAGAAATATAATTCGGTCTTCAAAATTTTTATCTTATCTAACTGTTTGAACTGAAAAATGAAAAAAAAATTTAAAATAACTGGAAAAGTCAATTTTAGTTTGGTTGCCCAAATATTTTGAATTATAGTGTCAAGTATATACCATATATAGCATATTTATTATATAGCAAGTATGTATCATATTTATTATATAGCAAGTATATATATAAGCAAATGTATGTAGCGAAATATTTTTAGTAATAGTTCTGAAGTTGAAGATAGCTAATTATTTCAATAGGATAAGATAGAAATTTTAATAAGAATCTGCACCATCGTACAAACTACATACCAATAAATAATATCTGATAATATTTCTCATAATATTTCTCATTTTGTGGTTATGATATTACCTTCCGGGATACTCAATTGTCTACGGACTACGATTTTGTAAATTTAAGAGTTTATTTTTGTTTTTTGTGTTTTTGAATGTGATATGTGGAAAGCATCAAAAGTCACTATATTACACTTGAACTTACTAAAACTAGCTGTTAGAACCGAGTTAAAAAAATTCAGCCACCAGATTGTGAAAGTCTTCCTGCTGAAATCGCATTCTAGTAATCAGTGGGTGAAATAAATATGAGAGGTTTAGTATTTCAATTTCGTGAATATATATAGATGATGATATATATAGATATACAGATGACTTAGGCTCTTTCTTCAAATCAAACACCCGCTTGTGTCTGCAGTTATTCATTTAAAAAAATTTACAACTTTAGTTATAACTTCAATCGATTGCGTTAGAATGGTTGAATCTAATTTTCTTTGAGGTACTTTGACGAATATTGTATATTATATATAGATAACAATCCACGTATAATAAAACTTTTATAACAAGTTCTTTAATCCTCTTGACTCTCTTGTAGAAGTTTGCTTGAATAGACGGCACACCATAATTGAATCTTTAAACGGATTATATCAAGGTTGTCATACTTTTTCCTATTCCTCGTTCATTGATCCCGTTCATTCAATCGTCCTGTGATCCAAGGATCCACTAGGGTTGGCAATCTATATTTCTCCAGAAAATCCTCAATTATACTCACATTACCTAAAGTGCGATAGGCTATATTTTCATTCCCCTTTCAGTCAAGATTCTCAGACCGTCTTTATTATTACAAACATTACACTGTAATGTAACAATGAAATAGTTTTATCATAAAACAAATCAGCCTCTAAATTTACATTATTATCGTTATTAATCAATTTGTTTGATAAACCGCTAATGACGTTATGTTAAACTTTAATGAAATATTTAAATAATTTAAATTGAAAAAGAAATGGATAGTAAAAACGTTATATGCAAGCCTGCTATAATATTTTATCACGGTTTATTTGCTCTAATTTCAGTTCCATTTCAAACGTATTTGCTTAAATAATCAATCACCCGTAGGAAAAACAGCAGTGCCATGGCTAAATTGCAAATAAATTAACTAATATTTAATCCGCAAAATTAAAGCTGCAGCACACAGCCTGCGAGCAAATAATACCAAAAAGGATTATATAATTTGCAAAAATTTAAATAAAATTTATGAGCTACAGAAGTTTACTAACTTACACACATTCATACATATGCATGCTTACATTCATACCCATATACGTACCATACATATTTGGAACTCATGCGATGTCCGCACATTTTGCTAGAAATATTGTGGCTACAAATTGTGATAAAAATTCACGCTCAACAAGTTAAATCCTGTATATTAACACAATTCAAACAGGATAAATGAACATTAAAAAAAAAATAAAAAAAAAATAAAAATGCCACACGTACTCATCAAAAATGAAATCAATTTACTTAACCCTCCATTGTGTATTGTCCCACATACACCCCACCACCATTTTTGTGCATTGTGGGCTTCTTTGTTCAACAATAAAAGTGCGAACCCCTCAGGACAAGCGATTTGCACCACAAAGTATACACAAAACATGAAATCCTCATAATAAAGAGTGAATGGTGTTAATTTGGTATGTTGGTTAGGGAGTTGGAGTTGAGCATAACTAAAGTGGGGTTGACGGGGTTTAGCTGGTAAAATCGGAAATTGAACTCTTATGAATGAAAAATATTACTAAGTCGATACACAAACAAATTTATAATGGATTAAATTACTGATGCTGATATGTACGTGCATAAATAATTGCAAATATGTGGACAATGTGCTGAGTAAATAATAAAAATTAAATGTCTGGTATTTCCTGACTTGATTAGAAATTGAAATGCTTAATAGTACAAACAATGTTTTCACTTTAGGCCTAATAACTACCCTAAGTGTTTTAAGAGATGACCGTCTCATGGAAGATGAACTTACTTGACCGTTAAATGAATTTGTGATTCATGTGGCTATTAATGGCAATAAAATTTTTAGAGAGTTCGAATAGAAATGAAAAATCTACCAGAAAAATTTAGTTAATTTATTGAACTAAATTTCAAAAAACGATCACAACAAGCTATTATTAAATTTTGACCTGACGCAGCATATCTCTCCAGACGCCCCTAATGTGTGCGAACTATCTCCAGCCTCATAAATCAAGTACGGTTAGTGCTTCCTCAACTTGATCACTCCACCGGATACACGACCTACCTTTTCTTCACCTAAATATTCTTTTAAATTGTTTTTTCGCTATATCATCTTCATCCAGTTTTCCGACATGACCTAGTCGGCGATACCTCTGGATGTTAATTCATTGAAATGTATTAATATCGTGATAAAGCTCATGTAAGTACGGTTAGCGCTTGCTCAACTTGATCACTCCACCGGATACACGACCTACCTCTACGCCTTCTTCACCTAAATATCCTTTTAAATTGTTTTTTCGCTATATCATCGTCATCCATTTTTCCGACATGACCTAGTCGGCGATACCTCTGGATGTTAATTCATTGAAATGTATTAATATCGTGATAAAGCTCATGTAAGTACGGTTAGCGCTTGCTCAACTTGATCACTCCACCGAATACACGACCTACCTCTACGCCTTCTTCACCTAAATATCCTTTTAAATTGTTTTTTCGCTATATCATCTTCATCCATTTTTCCGACATGACCTAGTCGGCGATACCTCTGGATGTTAATTCATTGAAATGTATTAATATCGTGATAAAGCTCATGTAGCTCGTGGTTTTTTGGATGCGATAATCGTCGCCAACTCATAGAGAATCATAGATCTTATAAAGAACTTTTTTCTCAAAAAGTTTCACTGCTGCTACACTATGTATTTTTATTACAGTTACTAATTTTTTGAATTATGAATAAAAAAAATTAAATTAAATACAGACAGATAATAATTATTATAATTAATAATTATTTTCTTTGATAAACCCAAGTATTTAACCATTCACAAATAATAAAAAAAACTTTAAGTAAAGGTATTCTCTACTTTTACTTTAATAATAATTATCTTCTTTACTTTAATAATTATTTTCTTAAGTAAACCTAAGATGTGAACCTGGTATTTTATTAAGTAAACCAATTATTTTTTTGTTGAAATTTTAACTAAAGATAGAAAACCTGAATATTTCCTTCTATTGTTTATATTATATTATCTATATTTTTAAATCACTAAGTAATGCAAAAAAAAAAACTAAAGCTATTGAAAATTTATTTTTTTATATTTTTGATGCTTAATTAAAAAAAAATAATATAAAAAAGGTTGTGAGACGTTGAAGTAGCTAAACCACTAAAAAGTTTTTATGCTCATAAAATGTTTGCATACAGCCCTCGTACTTTTAAAGCAGTAATTTTTAAGTGTGCTTATAAATTGAACGCATACAACCCCCGTACTGTCATATTAGTAATTCTCATGCTAAAACTAAAAAAATTAACAGGCCACATTAAGCTTAACACCAGCTGATGCATTTAAAATGTTAGTGCATAGTGTCATTATCATATTGCAAAAATACATAAATAAAAAGTGTTTAAAACATTAAAACATTTAAAAAGCCTGGAACAACAACAGACAACAACAAATTTATTAAAGAGAGGATTCTTTTAAAGCGACCAAATAACTTCAAAGAACGAAACTAAACACAACGCTAACGTCATGAAGCGTTATAGCCAAAGCTAACAACAACACCAAAACACCAACGCAAAACAAATAACAACAACCAACAAACAAACAACAAACAGTCCAAATTATAAGGTTCGTAATTTAATGTTAGTGCAATTGTCAAATTTTTTTTTTTGCTGTTTTATTGGTAGAAGACTTAACTTACAGCAGGGCAAATTTGAACTATGCAGGTTTAATGCTTATGCGCTTATATTGACATTAAACCGTATACGTTTTGTTGCTACAAAGTGGAGGGATGAGACTATTACACTGTTGCTGTTGTTGTACAATATTCTGTTACAGTTGTCGCTATTCAATTATGTTGATATTGTTGTTGTTTTTGTTGTAGTTGTTGTATTAAATGTGAAATTGATATTATTGGGTGGGGTTTTTATTTACACTCGTGTTTACATTGGGTTTACTTGTTTTTTTTTTAAATGTTTTTGTTGGTTTTTTTTTTCTTACGTTGTTGTTGTTGTTGGAGTCGTCGCGTTTATTGTTTATTTTGCTTGCATTACTTTGCATTTTTAATCAATTTTCTTGCTTTTAATTTGCTAAAAAGACAACACAAAATTTATGTGGGCTTTCATTTAATTGAAAATGTTTTCGATTAATTGTAATTGAAATCGATATCAAGTGAAGGTGGATTCTCTTATTTTTATAACTTCCAAATGCTTAAATATTCTGTAGAAATACAAATAAATTAAATTAAATTGTAATTTATAGCAATAATTAAAAGAAATTAAATGATTTTCTACAGACATTTTGAGTTTAAATTTTATTCAATTAACTTAAGAGTGCTGCTTTTAAGTAAAGTAGTAAAATAGTATAATGGTAAAGATATGCCTCTAAATCTATGGTATCAC